TATGGATTGAAGCTTCCTATCAAGACAACAAAGATTCTCACCACTGGGCAAATTGGTAGCACCATGATCGATAGAGAAGAGATTGTTGTTAACAATTGTTAACAATTGCAGCTTGCTCACCTCCACAATCAACACAGCAGTCAGGAAATAAAAAGATAAATTGCATTGGGGAAAATCTGCTGTTGTGGACCTCTCCAGAGTGTTGAAAAGCAACGATGTCAGTCTAGAGACAATAGTGTACCTAATTCAAGTCATGGTCTTTGCAATTACTTGTTATGCTTAAGAGAGCTGGACAATTACTAAAGATGACAGAAGAAGAATCAATGCCTTTGAATTGTGGTTTTGGAGAAGAGTCTTGAACACACTGTGGACTGCCAAGCAAACAAACAGTTGTGTCTTTGAGAGGGTGAAACCAAGTCTTTCCTTGGAGGCTAGGATTTTGAAGGACCATCTCACATACTTTAGGTATATGGCCAGGAGAAATCTGTCCTTAGAGAAGGACATCATGCTTGGAAAGGTGGAGGGAAGTGCAGGAGAGGAAGACCCCAAAGGAGATGGATTGATATAGTTCTGGGGCAATGGAGGTTGGTGTATCAGAACTAGTGAGCCTGGCTCAGGACAGGGCAGGATTCAGATCTGCTGTACATAGGGTCACTATGGGCTACAGGCAACTCGATGGCACATAACAATAACAACAACATCTGGATATACCAGCTTTTAAGTTCTAATAAAACGCATAGCTGATACTTATTAAAATTATAGTTAGAACTTATTTTCTGTGTGATATAGTTAATTGTGATATATATATATATATATTCCCTGAGGTATGGGCTCATTTCCACATCCACTTCCCTTTTTATAGATTCATAAAGTGAGATGGAAAAGTCAAAGCATAGCATAAGGTCCCACAATTGGGAGTGAAAGAACCTAAATTCAACCTCAGTTAGTCTGACCCAGAACATCAGCCGTTAGATAAATGTTGCTGTTATATTTCACTGAGTCGTGTGGGACTCATAGCGACCTTGTGTACAACAGCCCTATACCCTTCTCTATCCTGTACCAATCTTACTGTCTCTGCACACTTACCTCCATTATCCTAGTCACTGAATCAATCCATCTCATTGAGGGTCTTCCTCTCCTGTGCTGTCCCTCCAAAGGGACACCCTCCCAAGCAGGACGTTCCTCTCCAAGGATCGGTCCCTCATTACAACATGTCCCAAGTATGTCAGACAAAGCTTCAGAATCCTTATCTCCATGGAGCAGCCTGGTTGAACTCTCTGGGATGAACCTGTTTGTTTTCCTAGCAGTCTATAGTACATGCAATACTCTTCTCCAGCACCACAGCTCAAAAGCATCAATTCTCCTATCATCCCTAGTCCTTGTCCAGCTTTCTGATGCATAGCAAGTAACTGCAAAGACCATACCTTGGATCAGGTGCACCTTAGTCTCCAGACTGACATAGCTGATCTTCAGTACTTTGGAGAGGTCTCTGACAACAGACTTTCCCAATACAATTAGTCATTTCATTTTCTGGCTGCTGGTCCCAAGAGTGTTATTTGTGGAGCCAAGCAAACTGTTCTGGAGAAAGGACGAAAGTTGTGCAAGTGTCCAGGAGATTCATTCATAGGGTCCCTATTAGTCGACAGCACTTAACAACAACAACAACAAGCAAACTATTAGCTAATGTGATTGCTCAATATTTTAAAAGAGAGCTCTGGTGACGTAGTGTCAAGAAGTTGTATTACAATCCTGAAAGAAGGCAGTTCAAGTGCATCACTTGCTCTGCAGGAGAAGGACAGGCAATCTCCTCCCGAGCTATTAACTGCCTTGGAAAACCTGCTGAGGGTCAGCTATGGGTCAGTTCTGATTTGATGATACACAACAACAATAAATTTTAAAACAAAACAGAACAAAAATATGTAAATATTTTTTAGTTTATTTTTATTCCATCGACACTTGGGAAATTTCTATAAATGGAAGGACTTTATTTTTCCATATCACTAACTCACTAGTAACTAACTATTAAGGGACCAAATTTTATAGAAGGTATTTATAAAGTTCTCTCTCACATTATACATCTACCAAAATGTTTTTTAGGGGGTTTTTAAAAACCTATTTTGATACTTATTAAGTATAATTGTCTCAACTTCATTTACTAAATAACATTTCACAATTATAATTGAAAACCAAATTAAATCCACTATATACTTGGATTATGAGGCAGTCATCAGGTGTACGCCAGGGATGTGTCCTGTCTCCATACCTTTTAACCTATATGCAGAACAGATTATCCAGGAGGCTGAGCTGTGTGAGGAAAAATGTGGCATCCGAATTGGAGGAAGACTCATCAACAATCTGTGTTATGCAGATGATAAAACCCTGCTTACTGAAACTGAGAAGGACCTGAAGCGCTTGCTGCAGGTCAAGGACTGCAGCCTTCAATATGAATTGAAGCTCAATATCAAGAAAATAAAAATTCTCTCTAATGGGCCACCTGGCAGCATCATGATGGATAGTGAAGGGATTGACATTTTAAATAGCTTTAGTTTGCTTGGCTCCTCAATCAACACTCTTGGCACCAGCAAGCAGAAAATTAAAAGACATATTGCATCTGGAAAGTCTGCTGTCAGAGGCCTCTCCAAAGTACTGAAAAGCAATGATGTCAGTCTGGAGAATACAGTGCACCTAATACAATCTTTGCAATCACTTGCTATACATCAGAAAGCTGGACAATGGCTAGGTATGATAGAAGAAGAATTGATGCCTTTGAGCTGTGGTGTTGGAGAAGAGTATTGAATATACCATGAGAATATACTAGAAGAACATACAGTTTCATCCTGGAGAGGATAAACCACATTGCTCCTTCAAGGCAAGTATTCTGAAGTTTCATCTGACATACTTTGGATATGCTGCAAGGAGGGAGCAGTCCTTAGATAGGGACAGCGCAGGAGAGGAAGACCCTTGATGAGATGGATTTAGTGACTAGGCTAATGGGGATAGGCGTGTCGAAGACAAAGAGATTGGCACAGGATAGAGCAGGGTTTAGGGCTGTTGTACACAGAGTGGCTATGAGTCGCGGGTGACTCGATGGTACTTATTACTTATATGGCCCTAAAATGATCACAAAATGGAGAAATTGTCACTTCCATGCCTTCAACAAACATGTCAGAAGTGGTTGGCAAACTAGAGTTTAAAAGCCTGAGATGACAGAGAAAGTGCTGAATGCTGCAAAGAGCAGTTCTCCTCTATAAAGAGCTCAACGTCTGATCACAGTTGTTACAGGTCTTACTCTCAAGTACTTTAGTTGTATGAACGAATTCAATCCTCATGACTACCCTATGAAGCAGGCATTGTTATAACTCCTTTTTTTTTTTTCTTAGAAAAAGTAGTTGAAGCAAGAAGAGCTTCCAAAGCTCACACAGAAAGTATGAGGCCAGGATATGAACCAAAGTAACTGAATCCAGAATCCCCACATGTCACTGTTACATTGTTCTGTTATATTGAGGGTTTGTTTGCTTGGGTGTTTTTGTTTGTTTTCTAAGCTATAGTTAGAAGTAGAGAGATTTAGAAACCTAGTTTATAGGGAGTTGTGCTGCTAACTCAAGGGAAACCTCTTTGGCTGTTAGAATTCACCAGACGGGCAACCTCTTCTTGTGTGATTTACAGCCTCCAAAACCCAATGGACAGTCAGCTGCATCAGTTTCAACAACGAGTTGGGATTTTCTGTGGATTTTGTTTGGCTTTTTAGTGGGTTGTGTTTGGTTTTGGTTTTGGGGTTTTGTTCTTTTTTAAGATGGTAGAAAGGAGCTCTAGTGGTACAATCCATAGTAGGTTGTAATGTTAAAGCCAACACCAGGCCCTCTGGATGTTTGAATCCACCCTTAAGTTCCTGAGAGATAGATAGGCAATCTCTTTTTTGTGATTTCCAGTCTCTGAAAGCCCACTGATGGGTCAGTTCTGAGTCAGTTCAAATTTGATGGCAAAATGTTTGAGGTATGAGTTAGTATCAGTAAAGCAGCATTCATGTTTTAAGATCACTTTGGAGGAATCCTAGAAGATTGAACAAAGTTAGGAGAGACTAAGCAGAAATCTAGAATAAGAGCCTTTTGCACACTAATCTCAGTAAGGGACAACAGGTCCTAAGCCAATACAATGGAGTAAGTTATAGAGGAGAGGAACACTAACATGATTCAGGGCCATTCAGGCAGTGAATTTTGGTAATGGATAGCAGGTTAATCATGAGAGAGTTTTTAAAAAATGGATTCTTGTATTTCTAAACTCAACGAACACATAAATAAGAGAATAAAGATTTCTGAGGGAAAATATTATTTTTTTTTTACTATGCTGAACTTAAGATTCTATATGCCATTTTAAAAAAATGGAATTAAACAGCAAATACATTAGAGAACTAGGTGTCCCAAAAAGGTCTGGAATTAAGGGAATTTGTACACTCTTGTAAAATAAATGACACAGAAAGAGTACCAAAGGATGGAAACCTAGAGAGTGGATCATGATGAAATCCAGCATTTATGAAGTCTAGCATTGAAGCAAAGGTAAAAGAGGCAGGAAAAGTAACTGAGTAGTAACTATTAGAAAGGCAATAGAAGAACACTGTGCTGTACTAAGGAAGGGAGGAGAAAGTTCAGGAAAGAAGAAAAAAAATCAATAGTGAAAAACTGCAAGAACTTAACAGGTAAGAGTTGATTAATGGTCTCTGGAACATCCATGGTCACCTTCTACTATATCTACAACTGCTTTCACCCCTTTGCTCCCACACCCCCAGCTCTACCACAGATCCATCTCATTCTCCCCTCCCTCAGTAATAAGAGCAAGAATAATTCTAAGACTCCAACCTTTCCAGACTTCACCTTTGCAGCCATCATTGACTATCAGTGACATTATTCTTATGTCTGACATTATTCCTATGTCTTGAATTACAACAAAGCTATAAGAATGTATTTACTTCCCCTAGAGAAAAGGACTCAAGACATGTTCTCTACCTTTGTGTTTTGATCCACAATTTTCTTGAGATTTTTCAGCAGATGATTATTTGGACCACCTTCTTTTTCATTAACATAAACTATCCTATCCAGGTCAGGGAAGTTCCGGTTCAAATCTATTCCCTGAGCATTGCTCCGACCCACAAACCAGTCCTTGAGCTCGCCAGGCTGGAAAATCAAAGAGAAAAGCCATCTGTTATCACTGTGGTTGTCGCTATTTGTTTAAGCCCTCCATTAATGGTTTTGAAAATAATTTATTAAGATTACTTCAACAATGACATTTTCACTTTTAAACATGAAGTTATCAGACATTTTAGGTATTTTTAAGAGCATCTGGAGGACTTTAAATTAATAATATTTTAAATATTAATACATTTTTTCAAAGACATTTATAATTAAATTGAAAAAATCAGCATATCAACCAATAATAGACCTGTTATGTGAAATATGAATTGTATCTGTAATTCACAGCAACTTATTTTAAAGAAATAATGAAAAGATTACTAAACAAATTTAGAAGCTAAAGGAAATTTAGCATGAATTATTTATATATTAGTATCATATCCCCCTTTATATTCTATCTGTGATTAAAAAATGAACTATAGATCAAAACTTCTAGGACCTTATGATTTGAAGAACTTCTATTCCATCTTAATCCTTAATTTTAATAGTGGTACAAACAAGAAAGTTAGTGACATAGTAAGATTTTCAGTGTTGTTTCTCCTATCTGGGTTAGTCTGGGTTCTTAGATCATTTGATGACCTATGATATTGAGATAATTTCCATATATTGTGGTCATATAAACCCAGTTATTTTAGTCAGTGAGGATAAAAAAAAATCTATAAAAACAGAAAATAGGAATGATAACTCATTTTTTGTTTCATTAAATACTATATATCTTCATTTTATGTTACCAGAAATTATCTTTTGTTACCTTAAAAATTGTATCAATATCCATCTATTAACATAAATATACTTTTTGCATCTCTCCACTCACTCAATTTCTTACAATGTTAACTTTTTAAATTACTTGATTTTTAATTTTTAAAGAATAAATTAGCTTTTTAATTGTAGGTAAAAAATATTAAGAATATTTGATCCTAAAACTATTTCAGACTATAATAATCAAACACCTATTCACCCAAAAAATGAAAAGGAACACACTCTAAAAACCATTTCTCTAAAAACCATTACTTCACAACTTCCGTAATGTTGAGATGTAGTAAATTAATTTTAATTTAGTAGTAAATCCTTTTTACATTATACCTGATATTGGTGATCCCCCATTTTTTAAAAAGTTCCTCATATGCCATTTTCTTTTTAGAAAATACCTACATTAGTACTTATTGTCAATAACATAAATAAATTTAAAGAAGATCTTTGCTTTCACCAAAAAAATTAAAAGGATAAAAAGTGAAGCTAATGTTCAGCATTTGTTTTTCAGGAAGCCTTTAATGAGGCAGTTCTCACTGCACTCCAGCTCCTTCCCTGAAAACGATATTGAGCATACATTATTTATATGTAGCTCCTTTACACAAGCTGTGAATTTATCATATTACTCTTTTTTTTTTTACTATATGCTAGTGTTATTTTAGGTTTTATATGATAGTTGGTATGATTTAATAGGTCCTTTAGGGGTCTGGGAATGCTCAAAAATTCAACTGGATAGTTATAGATTTTTTTAAAGTACTTGTTTATTCACTTTACACCATTTATTCTTACAAAAGATATCACAGAAATGCTAGACTTTAAGGTTCTCAGAGAAAACTGTACAAAGAGGATCAAACATCAGGAAAAGGGAAAATATTCTGACCAAAACACTTTTGCCTTTAAATTCAGTAGAGGGCGCTATGACACCAACACATTGTAGATGTGATACTTGTTAATTTTTAGAAGAAAATTCTCACTTTTTAAATAATGGACTAATAACTAACTTTTTTTAAAAAACACAAACAAATTAAATATTCTATTATTAACAAAATTTCTCATTTACAATGGTGCATTACCCTATACAATCTGTTTTTCTTACCAGCAAGCTGATTAATGTGTCATACATAGCCTCCAGTGCTCTTAAATGGTTTCTTACACTTCATTTTCTATAAATTTTGCATGAGCACGTTTGAAGATAAGCACTCTGTAGAGCCATCCATAATACTGAAGAAAGAGTGCCCTGACCTTCTGAGGAGGCTCACACTAACCTGCGATGCGGCCTTCTCGAAGCCATCGGGGTTCAGTGAAGGCATGATGTGAATTCGTGTGTTGTGGATCAGGTTCACGATGGTTTCATTGCCCTTCTGATATTCATTACACAGGTACTGGGCCAGGAAAATGAGCAGTTCCCGTCCAACTGCTTCATTCCCATGCATGTTCCCAATGTATTTAAACTCAGGTTCACCTAAAACACAAACAATAGATAATATGGAGATAGTTTTGAGAATGCCATAGAGAAGCCAAATGATATATAATGCTGAATATACTATATACTATATACGATATACAGTTGTTCCTCTGTGTCCTGGATTCTACAATCTTAGATTCAATCATTTGCCTATGAAAATATTTCAAGAGGCGAGGGGGTGGGGTGGGGGGGGAGAATTCAAATTATAGGATCAAAGCAATCACAAAAAGGGTAAGAGAAAGCATAAAGTTGTATTGGCATAATATTGACCTTTTACCAGGATATGCAAATAATCTAGAGATGATTTAAAATATACAGGAAGTCGTGTGAGGTTGTAGGCGACTATTACTTATTTTATATAAAGAACACGAGCACCAGCAGATATACCAGAATTGGAAATCAATTTTCAATGGAGACTTAGGCATAGCTGACAGACATAATCATTCATTATCGAGTTAACACACTCAGCTGCTATCACAAAGGCTGGACCTTGCAGTCCACCCGGTGGCACCCCGGAAGAGAGATTACTTGTATAAAGAGTTAGCCAATGAAATCACTAGGATAACTCTCAACCCAAGAATAACTCTACCTGGACACATTATCTCCATTAGTTGAAGTCTCCTTCATGGCAACATTTGTTTTGTTTTGACATTTATTAAGCACAGCTGACAACTTCCTTTCCTTCCAGAAGTGAAGGCTAAAAACTCTAACTTAAATATCAATACATTCCCAACCTCCTTCTGTCCTTCTAGTTCTCACCTCTCCTCTCAGTAACTTATAATTTCGTGGGCCTCCTGCATGTCAAATGTAGTACTTTGCATAAGGAGTAGGTTATTATCTATTTCCATCTCAAAGGTAAACAGAATAAGCTTTGATTGCTTAAGATGACTGGTTACAAAGACTGTGAAGCTAGGATTCAAGTGATTAAAATCATGAGCTCCAACCACATGGATTAAAGCACTACCCTTAATTCTTACTGGTTGATCATGGGGAAGTTGGCTACATTTTCCCATGGGTAAAATAGAAACAATAATAAAACAAAGTGAAAGAGGAACAGACTGAGAGCTGACCCTCAAGCAGAGTCAGCAGTGAAATTCCCTACCCACTAGAGGGAGCACTGGTGGCCTAGTGGCAAGAAGCTGAACTTCATGCAACTCAAAGTTTGAGGCCACCAGCTGTTTCGCGGGAGAAGGTCAATTTCCTCTGAAACTCACCAGAGGCGCTCAGCTGTGGGTCTATTCCGACTCTACAGCATACAATAACAGCATTATAACTACTATATTATAACTGAGAGGTATTTTGTCATATATAATTTAAAGTTGTTACAACAGTCCACTAAAATAGAAACAGATTTTTTTATTATCCTTGTTGTATATGCAACATGCAACGCAGCTGTTCTCCATTGTGCTCAGAATTAAATCAGGAATCAATCTTTCCTGTTAGAGCTGCTTCCTGCTGTTTCTTAAGAATTTAGGAACACCGGTGACCTTAATTTATCCTGTTGCTCTACTCCTTTCTGCTTCATCCATCCCATGGGTCCAGTTCCTGGAACTGAAAGGATTCCCTCGTTTACAAAATGACTAGGACTGCTCACTCTCATGTAAGATAATAAGTTGGAATCCTTTCTCTCCTGGAAATATATTTTCCAAATATTCTTCACAGGGGATTTCTGAGTGATAACTCACCCATGAAAACCACGTCCTTGTGTGACCTCTCAGCCCAAGTTTACACTAATCTTAATCTAAGGATCAGATGGGAGCAGGATCAGTGCTATTTATACCCCCCTCTATTTTCTCTTCCTTTGAGAAAGAGTCCAATAAAACTAAGAAGTTGTCATAAGTCAGAACCAACTTGACACACAAGGCTAAAGTTGTTTGGGTTATAATTATGTTTTTAATTTTTTTTTTTTTAGTTTAGGTATTTGCCCAGATGGTCTAAGAAGAAATGTTTGCTTCTAATTTAAAAAGCAATAATCACCTTCCTTCCTGTTAAAATTATGTGGAAACCCTTGCCAATGAGTCTACTCAGACTCTTAATAACTATTTCCCATTAAGACCCCACTACTTTAGAGTTAATTCCTGATCATGAAGACCCTCCGTTGGGTTTCTGAGGCTGTAGCTTTTAGTGGGAGAAGACCTGAGGAGTAGACTTTAAAGGAGTAGATTTGAGCCATTTGGCTAGCATCCATACTGTAAAGCATCAAGCTTCTTAATCTATAAAAGCATAGAGAACTGTTGTTAAGTGCTGTCTAATCAGCCCTGGCTCATGTACAACTCTGCCCAAACACCATCAGAACAAAACTGAATAAACCATTGGTTGATAAAGGAATAAAACTGTCTTGGAGGAACTGAAGACTGAGTGCTCCTTAGAAACAAAGATGATGAGGCTTCATCTTATATGTTGTTGCTGTTGTTATGTGCCATCAAGTCGCTTGCGACTCATAGCGACCCTATGTACAAGATTCCTAAACCCTGCTCTATCCTGTGCCAATCGCACTGCCTCTGACACACCCATCCGGATTACCCCAGTCACTGAATCAACCCATCTCATAGAGGGTCTTCCCCTCCTGCATTGTCCCTCCACCCTCCCAAGCATGATGTCCTTCTCCAAGGACCTGTCGCTCCTTGCAACATGTCCAAAGTATGTCAGACGAATGGGCATATTATTGGGAGGGGTCAGTCTCTGGAAAATGACAGTATGCTTCAAAAAACAAAGGTTAGTGAAAGAGAGGAAGACTTTCAAGGAGATGGATTGACTCTGCGACTGCAAAAATGGACTTTTAAGGACAGCAGACATTGTAATATTGTGAACAACTATAGCCACCTATTTAAAACACACACACACACACACACAAAAAAAAAAAAAAAAAACCTTAGAGGCCAAATAGCTTGAAGGATCTTAGGAGCATGCTTCCAAGAGTTTTTTTTTGAGAAGAGTTCACTGTAAGAGACATTCTGGACCCATTTTCTTAATGCAACACAGCTCTAAATTGTCAAGTCATCCAAGAGCTGCCTTCACAATCCAAAAGATAGGAACCACATATGCATTTATTTATTATTTCTCTAGATTTAAAAAATGATTTAAAGAAGAAATAGTCACTTGGCCAAGTGTGGCCTCCATATGTTTTCTTAAGATGTCACCATACAAATATTGCATATTTGCGTGCTTTGGAGCATGGCATGCTCTCTTCAATTCTGCCACAGACCATACCACTACTTCTGCTTCAAACATTTGCTTTTTTTCAGTATGAGTCCTGAAATTTTCCCATGTGATTTCTCTTCTTCAACAGAATATGAAATTCTCAGAAACAAATTACCTTCAATATGCCTACTGAATTTGTGAGAAAAGAGTAATAGGAATGACAATAATAATGAGCATGTTTTTATTGTTATTCACTGCTATCAAGTCAGAACCAACTCAACTCATAGCTGACCCACTAGTGGATTTTTAAAGGCACGAGAGAATACTGTCATCTTTCTCTTGAGGAGTAGCTGATGGATTGGAACTGCTTCCCTTGGGGTTGTCAGCATAACTCGTTTCTCACTAGGCCATCAGAGCTCCTTTATAATGTTTTGTTGTTATTCTTGTGTGCTATGGAGTTGGAACCAAGTCATGGCTGACCTTCCAGTGGGTTTTTAGGGGCAGTAAACCCACAGGAGGAGATTGTCCATTCTTTTCCCGTAGAGCAGCTGGTGAATTTGAACCAAGTGCCTTTGGGTTGTAGTGCACTTTCTTAGCCAGAGCTCCCTAATGTTTTGTTTGCTGTTAGGTGTTATCAAGTTGTATATAACTCATAGCAACTGTATGAACAGCCAACCTTAATCCTACTCTATCCTGTGCCATCCTCTCCAAATCCAAAACATGCAAGCGATTTGCTGAAGTCACTGTGTCATTTCATTCATTTCATTTTGGGTCTTCCTCTCCTTCACTGACCTCCCCCTACCCGTCTTTCCAAGCATAATGTCTTTCTTCAATGATTAGCCTCACCTAGCTACATGTCCAAATTATGAAAGAGGAAGCTTTGCAATCCTTGCATCCAGGGATCCTTGCACCTGCTCTAAAACATATGTTCATTCTCTTGGCAGTCCATGGGATATTCTGTACTCTTCTCCAGCATCACAGAGAAAAGGCATCAATTCTTCTTCTGTCATCCTTACTCATTGTCCAGCTCTTTGATTAGGATAACATAAAGTTAAATCTATATAAATAACTGTATTTAAGATAGTAATATGAGGAAATAAGACAGTTGGCATCTACAGCCAAGGAAAAGACAAAGTTTTTTTGTCTTTTTGTATCCTGAGGAATTAGTTAGATCATTGGATAATGTTATTACTAAGCGAGCTCTGGTGGCCTAGTGGAAAGCTGGGCTGCAATCCTGAAGACACATGGTTCAAGGCCACCAGCTGCTCTGCAGAAGGATGCGCAATCTTCTCCTGTACGATTAACTGCCTACTAGAATTCATAAAAACATGTCTTAAAGCCTAGTGGTACAAGTTATAAAGATCACAGTGCTAAAATAAAGCATTGTGTCAGATACTAGAGAAGACCAAAATTCTTAAATTGACAAAATACAGATATTGGAGGAAAGATGTAGGCATGCATATGAATGATGTTGAGGACTGAGGTAGCAGTGAATTCATAATAACAAGTTTCCAGGTTCTAAACTGGAACATTCTCAATACTTCTCTAGTCTCTCTCTCTCTCTCTCTCTCTCTCTCTCTCTCTCAAAACTGTAGTAGTTACCAGTTCAGAAGACAACTTTCCTCTTGTCACTTGTACTAATCACTAATTGCATAACAGGGAACTCTGGTGACCTAGTCCATAGGGAGTACTGCTCTTAATCCAAAGACCATGCTTCTCAGGAGAAAAATGGGCAGTCTCCTCCTGTACATTCTACAACTTCCAAAATCCCACTGAAGGACCAGGTGGGAGGCAGTTACAACTCAATGGCAACAAGAGTGATAATTTTATAATAAAGGATAAACGTTTCAATAATG